TCATCATCATCATCATCATGGAATAAGAACACTCCCCAAATTGCCAGGTTGTGGTGAGTACCCTGATGCCAGAAGGGGGCGTGGCCCACGGTAAATGCCCCACACACGTTGATCAGTTCCCTCCTGCCTCATGCCTCATCTCCTGTTAGGATGCACTGCCCCCATCCTGTTTCAGAATGCATGCATTTAACAAGTTCTAAGCCATGGAAAACTTAAAACTTTATTTACTTGGAAGGGAAGCTTAGAATGTGATTTAGCTGCATAGCTAGCATGGATAACAGATGTGGTTCAGGAGATCAAAATTTAATCTTAGGCCATGAAAAGCCCTAAGTGGCATGCCTCAGCCTGCCCAGTTTTCAGGTGTAGGGTTTGCCCAGATGTCCAGAGCTGAGCTGCCTGGTCCCTCTCTGCTCTCCCACGTTCTCCTGATGTGATATGTGCAGGAGACACAAGAATACATGGCTTGTGTTGGTCTAACGCTGGGAGCTCCTTAGGCCAGAGGCCCTTGCTGCAACCTTCTCTCTCCCTACTGCACAACAATCTCACCAGCCTCAAGGCTCAGCATTAACCTGGCCTCCAGCAGGAGCCTCAGTCCTAGCTGGAGGCCTGGCCCCTTTGGCTGGGCTGAATCAGGCCCTGCTCCGTGCTCGGGTCATGTTCAGGGTATGACCAGGCTGTAGCCCTGCCCCTGGCTTCCCGCCTTTTGGATTCTCTGAAGCAGGAGAGAGTGTGGTGATTTGATTTTTTTTTTTTTGAGATGGAGTCTCACTCTGTCGCCCAGGTTGGAGGCCAGTGGCACAATCTCAGGTCACTGCAACCTCTGCCTCCAGGGTTCAAGCGATTCCCCTGCCTCAGCCTTCCAAGTAGCTGGGATTATAGGCCCACACCACCACGCCCAGATAATTTTTTTGTATTTTTAGTAGAGATGTGGTTCACCATGTTGACCAGGCTGGTCTCGAACTCCTGACCTTGTGATCCGCCTGCCTCAGCCTCCCAAAGTGCTGGTGAGCCACCGTGCCCGGCTGAGAGTGTGATAATTTTAAAAAGCCAACCGTGCTGGTAATCCGGGCTTTACACCTCGCTGTCCTACAAGTCAGTAAGACCCAGGAGAGACCATGTCAACGAGCAAGTGTGTTCCGTGGTGGGGAATTGACGGCCCCAAGAGAAAAAAGCAGTTCATACCTTCCACGGTCATGGGATTCACAGGCTCGCACATTTGACCCTGCACTGGCCTGTTTTCATCCTATGGTGTCTGAAATTTTTGGCTCTAGTTTACTGAGCTCTTAAAGGCTCTGTGCTAAGGTGTCAGCTCACTGAGTCCTCATGAACACGATGCTGTACTCCAACCACTGCATTCCCCAAGGGCATTCAGCTGGCTAACGGATGGCACAGGGATTCAGTCTGATCCAGAACTTTTGGTCTTCAAATAACACCTGGACACAGACTGGTGGACACCTGTCATCCCAGCACTTTGGGAGGCCGAGACAGGCAGATCACTTGAGGCCAGGTGTTCGAGACCAGCCTGGCCAACATGGCAAAATCCTGCCTCCACTAAAATACAAAAATTAGCCGGGTGTGGTGGCATGTGCCTGTAATCCCAGCTACTGGGGAGGCTGAGGCAAGAGAATCACTTGAACCCAGGAGGCAGAGGTTGCAATGAGCCAAGATCACACCTGAACCCAGGAGGCAGAGGTTGCAGTGAGCCAAGATCATGTCACTGCCAGCCTGGGAGACAGAGCAAGACCCTGTCTCAAAAAAAAAAAAAAAAAAAATTTAGTGACACATGGGAGTTTAGTGGTGGGGACTGGAGCATAAGGGGTCAGCTGTTAATTACTTCCTGCTGATTGTAGCCATTCAGGAACATGAGCCACGAAACCTAGGATATTTTATTTTATTCATTTTTGTTTATTTATTTTGTTGAGACAGGGTCTCACTGTGTTGCCCAGGCTGAAGTGCAGTGGTGCAATCTCAGCTCAATGCAACCTCTGCCTCTCAGGTTCAAGCGATTCTCCCACCTCAGCCTCCCAAGTAGCTGACATGACAGGCGCCCACCATTAAACCTGGCTGATTTTTGTGTTTTTTGGTAGAGATGGAGTCAAACTCCTGACCTCAACTGATCCGCCCGCCTCAGCTTCCCAAATGTAATGTAAGTGCTGGCATTACAGACAGGAAACGCCATGCCTGGCCAAGCCAGGATATTTTATAAGAGGCTCCAGATTTGTTTAATGTTGGAAACTAATTACCAAAATCCATTTAATGCTATGCAGGCCGAATGTGATGCCTGCAGGCTGGGGATTTGTGCCCTTCATCCCAGCAGCATGATTTGTAAATAAAATGCATGCAGTCACCTCCATATCTTCTGACTAAATTTGGGACGGCCTCTTGAGATGGAAGAAAATCACTTTCTCTACAGCCACCAAAAAAGCAGCACACAGACCCTCCCACTGACCAGCAGTCATACCCCAGAGCAAGTTACTTAACCTCTCGGTACTTCAATTTACTCATCTGTAAAATAGGGATAGTAAAAGTACTGCAAAGAACTGTTGGAAGGTTAAAACGAGTTTCTGCAAGGAAAACACCCCCAGTAGTACCAAGTCATGAAGATGCATCATTTCATATTTTCACAAGCTGCCCATGATCCCCCTGAGGGACAGGAGGAGGTCTGGGCTGCTTGCACTTTGTCTAAACTGCTACCCCAGGCCTCCTCCACATCATCAAAGGGTCTAGAACAAGTGTAGCCTCAGGCCAATCAGGTAGGTAGAGGTGAGGGACAGGAGGAGCCGAATTTCATCCCTAGGAGGACATCTGTTCCCAGAACCAGCAACACCAAACAGAAATAGATCAGAGACACAAAGACGCTTTTAAAGGAAAAAATAGCCTAGGCCAGGCACAGTGGCTCATGCCTGTAACCCCAGCATCTTGGGAAACTGCGGGGGGAGAATCGCTTGAGCCCAGTAGTTTGAGACCAGCCTGGGCAACGTAGTGAGACCCCATTTCTACAAATTAAAAATCGGCCAGGTATGGTGGCATGCACCTGTAGTCCCGGCTACTTGGGAGGCTGCAGTGAGCCAAGCTCACGCCACGGTACTCCAGCCTACGCAGCAGAGTAACACTCTGTCTCGATGGTACGAAATAAAAAAATAAGGCCGGGTATGGTGGCTAACACCTGTAATCCCAGCATTTTGGGGGGCCGAGGTGGGCAAATCACAAGGTCAAGAGATCAAAACCATCCTGGCCAACCTGATGAAACCCTGTCCCTACTAAAAGTACAAAAATTGGCTGGGTATGATGACGCATGCCTGTAATCCCAGCTACTCGGGAGGCTGAGGCCGGAGAATCGCCTGAACCCGGGAGTCGGAGGTTGCAGTGAGCCAAGATCTCTCCACTGCACTCCAGCCTGGTGACAGAGCAAGACTCCGTCTCAAAAATTAATTAATTAATTAAAGTAAAAAAAGACTTTCCAAAAGCATGGAAAGCCATTTCTTCTTCAGATCAGTATACTTGCTTTGGGTTTTTTTTTCAGGCAGAGTGCTCTGTTGCGCAGACTGGAGTGCAGTGTAAGATCATGGCTCACTACAGCAGTGACCTCCTGAATGGCTGGGTCTACAGGCACATGCCATCACGCCTGGCTAAAATATTGTATTTTTTTGTAGAGATGGGGTCTCCCTGTGTTGACCAGGCAGGGCTCAAAACTCCTGGCCTCAAATGATCCGTCCACCTCAGCCTCCCAAAGTGCTGGGATTACAGGCATGAGCCATCGTGCCCGGACTGAACCCAGTGAAGTCTGACCTAGCTGTACCCCAGGCCCAACACAATGTTTCCTACATGAATACAGTCAACAAATGAACTACCAATCCTGAGTACTTTGCAGCTGAAGAAGAAACTTAAATTCAGTTTCCAACCCCAGGAGGCAGCTAGCTGGCTTCCCTGGGGCATCAGACATTGGAGAAGGTAGCCCAAATGCCTGAGGCCTCAACCAAAATGCCTTACTAATGCTGAGACAAGAGGAAATTCCATGCAATGGCAGACACACAGGAGCTCTGCAGTCATCCCTGGGTCCTCATCCCAGCTCCATCATCCACCTGCTGTGCGACCTCAGGCGTGCCCCTTACCCTTCTCATTCCACTTCCTCATCCATTCAATGCACATTGTAATGAAGACCTCCAAATGGCACGAAGCTACGTGGTGCCCGCATTGGCTGGCCAGGTCAAGGACTGCGGGGCTGTACAACCTGCTCATGTGAAACTGATGCATACTCCATGAACGCTGGCCCAGGACAGAAAGGCTTCCTCGAAAGGAGGGAGGGGTCCATCTCTCGAACCCCGTGACAGCAACTGCTGCACACGTCATACCTGCTGGTGGGGACTCAGGTTTCCCACAAGCGCTAAGAAAAAAAGCTTGTCGGCCACAGAGTGAGCTTCCAAAAGGGGTCCTCTACAGCTCTTTTTTTTGAGAGTCTCGCTCTGTCGCCAGGCTGGAGTGCAGTGGTGCAATCTCGGCTCACTGCAACCTCCGCCTCCCAGGTTCAAGTGATTCTCCTGCTTCAGCCTCCTGAGTAGCTGGGACTACAGGTGTATGTGTGTGTGCCACCATGCCCAGCTAATTTTTTTTTTTTTTTTTTTTTTTTTTGGTGGGTGGGGTTTTCTTTTTTTTTTTTTTTTTTTTTTTTAGTAGTGATGGGGTTTCACCATGTTGGCCAGGCTGGTCTTGAACTCCTGAATTTCAAGTGATCTGCCCACCTTAGCCTCCCAACGTGTTGGGATTACAGGTGTGAGTCACCGCGCCCGGCCCTCTGCAGCTCTTAATGGTGGCTTCTGCTTGGACACCCTACCTAGGCTTTCATGGACCAAGGCCCCCAGGAGCCACCTCCCATCACCCGCCTGGATGCCTCAGAGTAATCTGCACAGAGCCACCCTGAGCTGAGTTGCACGTGTCACACTGAACACAGGACCTGCCCGGCCCTCCTCAGCCGCCCAGCCCCAGATGCCATTCCTGCCCACCTTCACACCCTCCAGGAGTGCCTGGGGGTCCTCGATGCCCTCAGGGACACACTTCTTGTTCTCTGGAAGGGATTCCAGTTTCTCCACCAGAGCTTTCAGGCCCTTCAGTTCAAACTCGGTGAGATGGGTCCATTTGGCAGCAGCCTCCGCAGCAGGAGAGCCAGTGGGCGTCTTGGGGTAGTCCACGGGCAGCGTGGTGGACTTGACACTCTCCTCTGACTCGTTGGACAAAGTCCTTTTGAGGAACCGCAGGGCAGGCGCTTTGGGCTTCTTCCCGGGGGCCTCCTGGTCCTCAGAGGGTGTGCTGGTGGGTGAGGCAGAGCCCTCGGTGGGTGGCTTGGGCGTCCTGTCTCTGCCCTCGCCCTCCTCATCCTTCTCCTCCTCCTCCTGAGGCTGCTGATCACAGGCCTCCTCCTCCATCTCCAGCCAGGAATCCGAAGAGAAACCGTCTATGCTGGGCTTCCTCGGGGCATCTGTGGGGGCAGGGTCACATGAAAGACCGAAATGATCCCTAACTCCCTGCAAAGTCTCTGGAACCTCTACTCGCCCCAAGTCCCCTTTACTCCAGAGATCAAGCTTCTCTGACAATCCTAACAGTCAGTGCCTCCAGCCTCTGGAAAGGCGGTGGTGGACACAGGTTCAGATCCCCACCCTGCTGCTTCCCGGCTGTGTGCACCCACATGGGCTGTCTCGTCTCTCAACACTGGCACTTTATTTATTTACATAAAGATGGTCTCGCTTAGTAGCCAAGGCTGGACTGTAGGGCACAATCTCAGCTCGCTGCAACCTCTGCCTCCTGGGTTCGAGTGATCCTCCCACTGGTGGACCCACTCTACTCAGCGAGTTTATTTAAGCTTTTTTTGTAGAGATGACGTCTCACTATATTGCCCAGGCTGGTTACTGACACTTAACTTTTTCTTTTTTTGAGACAGAGTCTTGCTCTGTTACCCAGGCTGGAGTACAGTGGTAAACCCCGTGCCCCTCGCCCCCGGGTTTAAGCGATTCTCCTGTCTCAGCCTCCTGAGTAGCTGGGATTACAGGCATGTGCCACCACACCAATTTTTGTATTTTTAGTAGAGACGGGGTTTCACCATATTGGCCAGACTGATCTTGAACTCCTGACCTCATAATCCGCCCACCTTGGCCTCCCAAAGTGCTGGGATTATGGGCGTGAGCCACCGCACCTGGCCAACGTTTTAATGTCTAAAAATAAGTCAAGGCTGGGTGCAGTGGCTCATGCGTGTAATCCCTATGCTTTGGGAGGCCTAGGCGGGTGGATTGCTTGAGCCCAGGAGTTTGAGACCAGCCTAAGAAACATGGCGAAACCCCATCTCTACAAAAAAATGCAAAAATTAGCTGGGTGTGCTGATGTGCAGGTGCGGTCCCAGCTACACGGGAGGCTGAGACAGATCACTTGAGCCTGGGAGGTGGAGGCTGCAGTGAGCCATGAATGTGCACCACTGCACTCCAACCTGGGCAAGAGAGCAAGGCCCTATCTCAAAAAATAATAATACTAAAATAAAAATAAGCTAAAAGAGCAACCATTATATGATTCACCTCAAGTGAAATGTCCCGAGCAGGGGATATGTGTAGTTGCCTAGGGCTGGGGAAGAAGGGGGGTGAGTAGACAAGAAAACGACAGCTAAAGGATAACAGTTTCTTTCTTTCTTTTTTTTTGAACCAGAGTCTCGCTCCATTGCCCAGGCTGGAGTGCAGTGGTAGGATCTTGGCTCACTACAACCTCCGCCTCTCGGGTTCAAGGGATTCTCCTGCTTCAGCCTACCAAGTAGCTGGGATCACAGATGTGCACCACTGTGCCTGGCTAATTTTTGTATTTTTTAGTAGAGACGGGGTTTCACCATGTTGGTCAGGCCGGTCTCAGGTCCACCCACCTCACCCACCTCAGCCTCCCAAAGTGATAGAATCTTTTTTTTTTTTGAGACGGACTTTTGCTCTTGATGGCTAAGTTGGAGTACAATGGCGCAATCTTGGCTCACTGCAACCTCCACCCCACAAGTCCAAGTGATTCTCCTGCGTCAGCCTCCCGCGTAGCTGGGATTACAGGCGCACGTCACCAGGCCTGGCTAATTTTTTGTATTTTTAGTAGAAATGGGGTTTCACCATGTTAGCTAGGCTGGTCTCAAACTCCTGATCTCAGGTGATCTGCCCGCCTCGGCCTCCCAAAGTGCTGAGATTACTTTGATGAAGTGACAGTGACAGCCATGGCACCTAGCTGGATTTTTTTTTTTTTTTTTTTTTTTTTTTGAGACAAAGTCTCACTTTGTTGCCCAGGCTAGAGTGCAATGGCACAATCTCGGCTCACTACAACCTCCACCTTTCAGGTTCAAGAGATTCTCCTGCCTCAGCCTCCCAAGTAGCTGGGATTACAGGTATGTGCCACCACACTCAGCTAATTTCGGATTTTTAGTAGAGATGAGGTTTCACCATGTTGGCCAGGCTGGTCTTGAACTCCTGACCTCAAGTGATCCACCGGCCTCAGGCTCCCAAAGCGCTGGGATTACAGGTGTGAGCCACCGCACCCTACCCTGGGTTTCTTTTTGAGGTGATGAAAATGTAAAACTGACTGCAGCAGTGGCCACACGGATCTGTGAATAGACTAAAAACCACTGGATTCTACACTTTAAATGGTGAATTTTGTAACGCAGAAACTATATCCCAACAGAGCTGTTTAAAAAATATAAGGCAAAGTAAACATCCTCAGAAGGCCGTGGTGCAGAATACACAGGCATCCCCGGGCACAGGCGCTGGCACACAGCAGCTCTGCATGGAGGGGATGTCTCCCTCATGTCACCCCTTCTCATTGGCAGATGGACTGGGAGAGCCAGAGGGAAAGCAGTGGCAAGAAAACCTAAGGAAGATGTGGGTACTGGTTATCCAAGCACCACTGCGGGATTTCTTCCTGTGCCTATGAATGGCATGTTCTTCTTCTGCCCTAAATACCCAAGTGACAGAGCCAGCCCTTAGCTTCCTGGCCTGGGAACTACAGACACTCAGAAAGCCTCTCGCTCTCCCCAGCCTCTGTCCCCGGGGGATTGTGGAGTTACTGCAATCACAGTGGCTCTCACGCTATTTCAGGATCATTTTCCTTCTCTCCTACCAGGCTGGGAGCTCCAGAAGGGCAGGTTGTAAGGTTTTGGGACTTTCCAACTCCTGAATATCGCATCATCGGGTGGGAATGAGGCTCGTGACAGACCTCACAGGCAAAGACTTCCCAATGAGGACCCCAGCAGAAACACTGGTTCCCCGTCACATGCCCAGCCTGGAACCCTTGTATATCATTAACGATGGGACACAAGGGAAGGAGCGGAAGAGGCTTACTGTAAAGGGGGAATAAAAGAAGAATCTAAAAATCCTAGAGGCTGCAGAGAATATTGTGCAGACCCTCAAGGAGACTGACCAATCTCATCTTTCTATCCCCTCGTTAAAAAAAAAAAGAAGATGCTGTATCTGAGATGCTGCAGATTCTACATCATCCAGGAAAACCCTTGTACAACAACAGCTCAGACACAGCCAAGAGGAATCACGTTCTTCCTCTAGATTGCTGGTCGGGGCTTGCTGTCACAGCCAGATGCAACTTCAGGGCAGGCATCTGTGAGTCCAGATTCAAGGGCAGAGCCGTATTGGGGGTGATGGTGTCCCTTTAAGTACTGGCAGCAGAGCAGGGTGCTGTAGTGGCTCCAAACACTCTCTCCTGCTCCTCCAGGCCTGTACCACCCACCCTGGTCACCCCTCCCGCTGCCTCAAAGACAGCCTTGGGTTTTCGGGGGTATCTCACAGGCTGGCTCCTACATAGATAAAAACCCAGCCTCCAGTGCAGGGGAAAAAAATCAGTGTCTACGGAAGAACCAAAAGAATGAGGCATCTCTGCTCTGTGGGGTGATCCTGCTTCAGCGGCCATGCCAGGGCGGCCCCTACCTGCACCTGCACAACCATGGGCTGGAGGCCACACACATGACTCTTTTGGGGACACGAGTTCATTTTCTTGGAGTCTGTATTCCAGGTGGGAAACTGACAAGAATGGCTTCTCCTGAGGGGTCCCTAGGATTCTGCTCAATACACTGATCCAGTGAATCCCAAGAACCCAGGGAGTGTCTCCAGGCCCCACTGAGAAAACGGTTTCTGCCCCAGCTGTGCAGCCGAATCCGGGGGCTCCCTGCAGTTCACTCACCAATAAGCATCGACTCCCTCTGGTATTCCTGAGTGAGGTGGGAGCGCTGGGTCACACAGTACACGTATCTCTCCAGGACATACCAGCACATCTCATAGTAGAAGGGGTAACGGAATTTTGGCTGCACCTGAAAGCAAAGACGCGGGCAGGCGGAGGTCAGTTTCCAGAGGGTGAAGGGGGAAGGTGGGAGAGAAGTGCAGGGCAAGTTCCCTGTGGGTGAGGGTCACTGTCATCATCTCAGCGAGAGCGTGGATGGCGGAGGGGAGAAATGGTGGGGTGCTGGAAGGGGGATGCCGGCAGCATGCACAAATGAGGCGGAGGATGAGGCCGCATGAGCACCTCATCTCAAAGGTCCCTGAGCTGCAAGCATCGGAGGTTGGATGGGGGCCACGTGGTGCTCCTGTGAGATGCAGAAAAACAGAATTCTCCCCTAACCTGCCTGCAGAGGGTGTGGGCACCTGCAGGTAGCTGCCTGATTCTAGCTGCAACAGACATAGGTTCCTCCTTGTTTCTGAAAATTCCTGCACAGATTCTGCTGTTCCTCCCTCCCGCCTGAAAACCAGAAATCAACTTCCAAGCCTTACCGGTTTGCAGACAGGTTACTGAGCCTCCTCCTGCTCCTTGGGAGGGAGGCCAGGCCAGCGGACCAACGAGGGAAGGGGGTGTGGCCTCACCTACCTCCAGGGGCGGGGCCTTGCAGGGGTCCACCTCCTGCTCCTCCCCACATCCACCTGCCACTGCCCAGCCAGCACGGCCACAAGGACTCCCTCAGACAGGGTTCCTAGGTATGACCTGAGACCATCCTGATGCTGAGGGAGACACACTGGGTCTGGAGCAGGAGATCCCTTTTGTCCCACCTCTCTTCTATAAAAACAGAGACAGGGTCTCACTGTCACCCAGGTTGGAGTGCAGTGAGCGACCACGGCTCACTCAGCCTCGACCTCCTGGGCTCATGCGACCCTCCTGCTTTAGCCCTGTGAGCAGCTGGGAACACAGGCACGCGCCACCACGCCTGGCTGGGGAATTTTTGTATTTTTTGTAAAGATGGGGTTTGCCATGTTGCTCGTTGGCTGTTTATTACAGAAGAGGAAGTAAATGTGGAGACAGCTTTGTGCACTAGAACTGTCAAAAGGCATGAGCCCCGGGAGATTCCATGGGGGGCTGTACAGATGTCACCGAAAGATGGGAAGGAAGCAACGCCACCGATGGGCCTCTCCTGCAGAGGCCACATGATGGTCTCACACGTCCACATTCGTACCTTGCTCCCTTGCTGTCTTGCCAAGAGGGTATCTGCCGGGGCCAGAGAGCCCTCCTCCCCTCCCTGATGCTGTGCAAACTCAGAGAGTGTGATGGTGAACAATTACACTCTCCCACCTTCTAATCACACTCCCCTGCCCCTAATAACATTGTCACTCCCCTAATCACTCTCTCTCATCCCCCCATTCACACTCTCCTAACCCCCAATTATTCCCCACCCCCATTCACACTCCCACACCCCACTCACATTCTCCCAACCCCCAATCACACTCCCCACCCCCTTAATCACACTCTCCACCACCCAATCACACGCCGCACCCCCAATCATGCAGGCCACCCCCCATTCACTCTCCACCCCAATCATATTCCCCAGCCTCCTAATCACACTCCCCACCCTCCTAGTCACACTCCCCACCCTCCTATTCAGTCTTCACCCCCAATCACACTCTCCACCCCCAATCACACTCCCTACCCTCCTATTCACACCCCCCACCCCCACTCACACTCACCACCTTCTTATTCACACTCCACCCCAATACATTCCCCACCCCCAATCACAATCTCCGCCCTCCTAATCACACTCCCCACCCTCCTATTCATACCCCCCATGCCCCAATCACACTCTGCATCCCTCCTATTCACATTCTCCACCCCAGTCACACCCCCACCCTCCTATTCACACTCCCCAACCCCCTAATCACACTCCCCATCCCCAACCACACTCTGCCACCCCCTCCCTAATCAGACTCTCCCACCCTTCCAATCACACTCACCCACCCTCACTGCTCTGTTCTCTGCTGCCGATAAACGAACAGGTGACATTCCCCATCTGGGACAAAGACAACTAGAAGCAGACCTCGGTTCTCCTTTTGCCCTAAAATGCTATTTTCCTGCATTTCCCAAAGTGCCTGTCTGGACCCAGCCATCTCTGAGAGTCCTGGCTGTCACTCAGCTACTGGCCTCAAGGCCTCCTCCGACTTCGGGGACCTCCTTTCTCTGCCTACAGGCTGGGTGCTCGGGTGCTCGGGTGCTCGGCTCTGCCTGCCCCTGATGGATGGAATGCTTTGGAATGGGATCATGGCCGCCACATGCTCTTCAGCCCACAGGGGATGCACGGAGTGGGAACCATCATCTAGCGGTTTCCTTGGCTCCAGCTCCTTTCCTGAGAAGCCCAGTTTCAGTGCTGGGAGAGTAGTCATTTTTTTTTTTTGTAGTTACTAGATCACTGCCCTCTGGAGTTTAAAAAGAGGGGCTCTTTGGCAGGAAGCAAACTTTGAATTCCTATGAAAAAGGAGTTAGGGGACCTCAGCCCCACCTCTATTCAAGACAAAGGGACAAAAGATTTTGGAACAAATGACGAATATCTAAAGAGCAGGCTGAGGACACGCAGCCCCTCATCCACATTTCCTGACCTGAGACTTGACTGGTAAAATCTGAAGTCGGTTTTGACTTTTCAAATCTTTTTGACACCAACTGAGCCACACCATGACCTGGGAATCTTTCTAAGTTAGGAGGGAAAAACTGGGAGGCTGCATTTCAGGAGGGAAGGATAAGTGTCCCTTCTTTGTTGCTGAACCCAAGGGAAACCAGCTGGGTGGAAACAAATGCTGATGAAGGAATTCAAATTTCTTTTTTTATTCTTTTATTTTTTTTTTCCCAGAGAGGACTGCGGGAAACAAAAATCTGCAAAGAGTTGACTTACAAACAGGTTGTCGCCTTCCACCCTTCGCCTTCAAAAGGTTTCAGCCACATGCCTAGGGACATTAAACATAGGGTTGCTCAACATCACTTGTTGACAGATCGGAGCCTCACCAAATCGAGTTAACCAATGTCAGTCCCAAATGAAAGGCAAGGCAGTCACAAGGCATGCAATGCTCCCAGCCTGCAGGTCATCCGTCTGCCAGAGGACCTCAGGGCCCACTCACTGGCACCTGGCCTCCGCCCTTCCTCGGAGGCCCAAGTCGTCTTCGAGCTGAGTGACCCTCAGGAGATGAGAACGAAAGGGTTTTCGGGTGGCTCTAGGACTCCCAGGTCTCAAGGACTTGAAAAAGTAAAAATGTGAGAGTGGGTGGAAGTGTCCTACAATTTGTTTTTCTCCTGGAAA